CTCCAGACCTCAAGTGATATACCCGCCTTGGCCTCCCAAAGTGCTGGGATTTCAGGTGTGAGCCACCGTGCCTGGTCAGAGGTCACTCTAAATCTTACTGGGGGCTATGCACGATAGCTCATGGTGGTGTGCACCACCATGTCCCAGCTACTTGAGAGGCTGAGGTGGGAGAATTGCTTGAACCCAGGAGGCAGAGGCTGCAGTCAGCTGAGATTGCACCACTGTATTCCAGCCTCGGTGACAGGGCAAGACTCTGCTTCAAAAATAATAAAAATAAAAAAGTAAAAAATCCTACTTTCCTCTTACCTTGCTGCCTAGGTGTCCATTCTTCATCAGAATCTTCAGTGTCATCCACCTGGAATTTGATGGCCTGCCTTCGGTGACACATGAAAGCTGGTTGAGTGGCTCAGAGACCTGAAATTAAGCAAAAATTTTGTTCTAAAAGGAAGAGCTGGGTAGAGTAACAAAGGGCAGTGGCAGTGGAAAGGACCACAAAGCCAGTGCGGCTCAGTCTGATGAGCTGGCAGAGTCCTGAACAAGGTCAAGATGTGACTTTTGCATGGTCAGTATCCACACTCAGCCCCATACTGACACAAAAGAACACAATTTCCCTTCAGATTTGGCTTCATACAAAAGGGAACGGTGGGCAGATACCACTACCTGAGAACTAAAATAACATAGGAACCAAAGACCTGTTTTGTTTCCCAGGCTGGTATGGGCCTAGCACTTCTTGTTACCTATAGTAATCCGTGCGTTATACTTCCTTTTCACATTCCTATAGCGAGTTTTCTCCCAGTCTCCCATCTCTGCCCATTCTTCCTTGAAGTATATGGCAATGTCTTTGAAGGCATCTTTGACCTAGAGGAAGTAACAGAGTCCATCAGTGATTTACTAGTACACGTCGAGTGGGTGCTTTTCCTCTACCCTGTGTGTAGGGCTTGGCCTGGGGCCTCTGGGAGTCTCTGTAAAACATAAAGACTTCCCCTTCTCCTCCAGATTGCATCCTGTTTAACTGAGAAGACACTGAGCATTTTCCTAGCTCTCTGCTGAGACAGAGCACTCACTGATGCCAGTGTTCTTTTCTCTCCCACGTCCTGGCCAGGACCAGCTGCCCCTGTTCCATGCACATGCAGACAGGGTCACCCAGGGGTACAGGCCAGGAGTCTGCAGCACTTCAGAGACCAGCTCCTGCTATGAGTCCGGGTTCGCCTCCCCCACCTCTCACCATAGGCTTCTGCTCTGCTCTCCCTGTGTCTCCTTCTGGGCTCTCCTCTTGGGACCTTTCAGGGCTTATGGTGCTGGGACTGTCTTGAAGGCCCTGCTTTATTTCCAGGTGTGGGAAGGGCCTGATTCTCCCAGCTCCTAAGCCAAAGGCTCCTGTGGAAGGAGAAAGTGCTAAGAGGGGGCAATAGCCCTGACCACTACCCAGAACCAGGTTCTGTCTTCTTCATTTGGCTGGGGTGTTCAGAGCAGGAAGATGTGGGTTCCTGGTGAGGTCTTGAACACCTCAGGGAGGTCTGGGAGTACTTATGGCATGGGAAGTTCTCTACTGGCCATGAACTACAACCTAATGTAAGCTGGATTTTGTTCTTTCAGTTCTCCTGCAGCTTGGCTCATTTGGAGAGGGGGAGAAGGGTGGCACAGGGGCCTGGAGGGTTGTAGCTATGGGTGTTTGAGGGGAGTCCTAAGGTGTGAGAGCCAGAGGAGTCCTAATGCAAACTTGAGGCCCCCCAACTGCTGGGACTTGGGTCACACTGAGGAGCAGGGTTTTGCTTCAGCAAGGCAAAATGAACATTTCTCATAGATAGGATTTGGGGATCTCTACCTGGGGATTCAGAAAAAATCCAGGAGTAAAGCAGTATGCATCTCCAAGGGGCAGCTATCTCTAAGGCTGAGATTTGGGGTCACTCAGGCTGTGGGGATTTGAGGTGTCTTAGGCTGAAGAAAATGGGGTTTCTGAGATTGAGGGAATTTGGGGTCTTGAGCTGAGGAGCTTTGGCATCCCTCAGGCTGATAGTTTTTGTGGTTTTTCAGAATGAGATTTGGGGTCTTTTAGGCTGAAATTTGGGGTGCTCAAGTTGACAGGATTTGAGGGGATTTGGGGTTCCTCTGGATGAAAGGATTTGGGAACTTTGAGGCTTGGAAAGGTTAAGGGGATTTGGAGTTTCTCCGCATGAAAGAATTTGGGATCTTTGAGGCTGAGGAAATTCTGGGTCTCAGGTAAAGGAGATTTGGGTCTCTCATTAAGAGGCTTTAGGGTCTTTGACACTGAAGTTATTTAGTCCTTGAAGCTGAAGGGATTGAGTTTTCAGGCTGAGTATTTAGGTTATCAGAGCTTGGAGAAATTTGGTCTCTCTGTGGAGATATTTAGGGTTCCTCAGGCTGAGGGGTTTGGGATGCTTTAGGGTGAGGGGAATTGTGGCTCCTCAGGCTCTGGATATTTGGGGATCTAATCATTAGGAGATTTGGTGTTCCTCTGGGTAAAGGGATTTGGGGTCTCTGAAGCTGAGGTACTTTTGGAGTTTTATGCTGAGGGGATTTAAAGTCCCTCAAGGGGTTGCAGTTAGCCGGGATCGTGCCACTGCACTCCAGCCCTGCGACAGGCGAGACTCCATCTAAAAAGAAAGAAGTCCCTCAAGGTGACAGGATTTGGTGTCTCTGGAGGCTGAGAGGATTTGGAGCTTCTCAGGGTGAGGGGATTGGGAATCTGCCAGGCTAAAATATGAAGGTCTTGGGCGGAGGGTTTGCAAGGGTTTCATGCTGCACGACAAAGGCTCCCCATGCTCTTCACAGTCTCTCGTGCTCTCCTGCCACGGTGTCCACTGTGGCCGGGTGTCCTCTTGGCGCCTCTCAGGGGCGAGACGTGGTGGAGGGCGAAACGCCAGCCCGTAGCCCTCCGTTGGCACAAGCTGCCAATCAGCACTAAGACCAAGGCGATCCCCCCAATCGGCAGTCAAGGGGTGCTAAAGGGGCGGGGAGAAGGGCGGAGCTTTGCCTGTCAGTCACGGGCATAACCCGGTTCCTGGCTCAGGAGGTCGGGGAGGGGCCTGGCTTTTACTCGCCTACGACTGGAATCATCCAGCGCGCAGACGCAGCTTCGCGGTTTTCGTCGCTCGGTTTCCCCCAGCCCAGGTGTTTGCGATTAAGCCGGGGGTCGGGGCTGTGCCTCACGTCCCTCCGCAGGCCTGGGTCTTCTGAGGCGACACGGTGTCTTCTTGGATTGCCAGAGTTCTCGCGCTGAGTCTCATGCTGGAGGGCTGGTGTTGCGTTAGCTGTGGTGTAAATTGGTTCTAGTCAGCTGCTTCGCTCCTGGATTCGTCAGGGAGCCAGGGCTCCGTCCGGGACCCTTCTGTGTGGGGAACTGCGCTTCGTTTCACAGGTGCTTTATTAGCAGGTCAATGTTGGTGTTTAGTTAGGGCGCGTAAGAGGAGCAGCTGCCAGGCTGATCCCCGGCTGCAAGGCTGACCCCCGGCTGCAAGGCTCATCTCCCGCTGCAAGGCTGATCTCCGGCTGCAAGGCTGATCCCTGCTGCAAGGCTGATCCCCGGCTGCAAGGCTGACCCCCGGCTGCAAGGCTGATCTCCTGCTGCAAGGCTAACCCCGGCTGCTAGGCTGATCCCGGCTGCTAGGCTGATCCCTGGTGGCAAGGGTAATCCCTAGCTGCTAGGTTGATACCTCGCTGCAAGGCTAATCCCGGCTGCTAGGCTGATCCCTGGCCGCTAGGCTAATCCCAGCTCCAAGGCTAATCCCCAGCTGCCAGGCTAATCCCCCACTGCAAGGCTAATCCTGGCTGCTAGGCTGATCCCTGGCAGCAAGGCTAATGCCCTGCTGCATGGCTTTTTTGTGCTTCGCGTTTGCAGGCTTGCTTTGTGGTGAGACCAGAGAACGATGGACCCTCACCAAATCCTGGACTTTGGGGTATCCTCCTGTGATCAATGGTGCCTGCCTGCATTTCTTTCGTTAGGTGTTCTGGGCTGCGGGGCTCCCTCGGGCAGAGGCTGCATAGGTCGCTCCCTTTCTGTACTGGCCCTCTGGAGGAAGGCATGCCTCAATCCCCCGCTGCCCAGGAGCCCATGTGTCTCATCCCTCTCAGTGCTCTGAGAGTGCGGTCTCCTCCCCTGGTCAAGTGCTGGCAGCAGATCTACCCCTTGGTATCCCTAGCTTTGTGCCACAGTCCTGGGAACACCGGGAAGTCCTGTGGCTTGGGATTGGGCTCTCGCTGTGCTGGGGAGTCCAATGTGCTCCTAGGTCATGAGGAAGATACTCAGGTGGAGCAGTGCACTCAGGCTGGGCTGCAGAGGCTGCAATGCGCACCTGCTCTTGCACAGTGACTTGGCGTGGGCCCTGGGAGGGGATAGTGGGCAGGAGGACTTGCAGAACAGAGGCACCCAAGTCCCACAAGGAAGCTGCCTCTGCTCTCTCCTAGCTCACAGGTCAGCTGCGGCCAGAGCCTCCTGCAAGGAGATAAGGGAGCCTTGGGGAATTGGCGTCTATATTAGTTCATTCTCGCACTGCTATGAAGAAACACCCGAGATTGGGTAATTTCTTTTTTTTTTTTTTTTTTTTTTTTTTTTTTT